CCCGGGGCCTTGCGGTGGAAACTGAGGGTCAGAGAGAAAAATGGCTGATCCCATGTAGGTTGCCAGAGTCTACAATATTCATAGCACCTGGTATCTAGGAATAAAAATGCTGATCACATTGGGGATATAAGCTGGCAAGTCACCCTGATGGAGATGGGGCTCCAGGTTGTGTGCATTCTTAGTAGCCATGGGGAGTACACTGCACCACACCGAGGACACTGTGCACCATACTGGGATGAAAGCTGATGAGTGTGGCCCGGGCCACACTGAACAGGCAATAACAAGATTAAGCTCTCACCGTTAGTTTTTTGGAACTCAGGAGGTGCCTCAGCATTGAAACTGTGCCAACTTACACTAGGCCTGCTGGCCTTGGTGGGTAAGGAACACAGAGGCAGCAGCTGCCCCTCTGGACCCAAACAGCATGGCCACGAGAAACGGAGGCATGGCCTTGCTTACAGGAAAGCTCCAGCTAATTCGGTACAGCCCCTGACCTCCCAGGAATGACAGCCATAGGCAGCTGGCTGTGGAAGAGAAGCACAGCTCTTAAAGGTAGCCCTGTGTAGTCTCCAAGGTAAAGAAACAAAAGCTAATGCCCCCGTACCCAGCGGCCACGGTCATATCAGAAGTGCAACTGTACCCTTACTCTATGTGACCGGACATACTTCGGTTTCTGCCCCCGCCAGATGCACAGATCACCTACGGTACCGGGAGCTAAGTCACGATGCGAAAGGATGATTCTATGCAACAAGCAGTGCATCGATCCCCTACAACGTACACAGCACACGGCACAGATCATATTCCTAGATCTAAAAGCTAATTCACTTTAATTAGAACAAAATTGTTTTTGATGAACTCGCCTTACATAATATATGTTTCTCGGCACTTAAAATCAACTTACAAAATTGATTTTTAAAAATTCAGAAGAGCAAAATCAATGCAACAGGCACTAAAATATGATCGTTACTAAAGAGATTCATTCGAAAACAGCACTACACTGCGGTCCTTAGAAATATTCTATCAGCAACTGATTGACAAAGTAGCACAAGCTACTTTCCTTAAATGGCCACGACACATCAGAAGAAATGCAAGGCTATGATAGTTATTTCTTAAATTACTTTCATGCAAAATCCCAGCCTCTGGCCTTTATGAAAAGGCCCGTGTTTTGTTACTCACCAACTGACAGCCTTCCAGGGCGTTGACGAGCTGAGCGTTCTGACAGGAGAGGATTGAACCAGCCAAGTTCAGCATCACGCACACTGCAGAGAGCAGCATGAAAAAGGTTATCTGGAAGCGAACCAAACACAGAATTGATTCCTCATGGGGAGAGGCTCAACGGAGAAAGGCTTTGGCTGCAAAAATGCTTTCAGCCGATCAAATCGTCACACGCGCAACATGTTTTAAAGGGAAGGCTTGTTTCTTGGAGTGTCAAGCTCACCTTCCCTTAAATTAAATACAAGTGAAAAACTGAAAAGCCATGGTCAGCGGCCGTGATTTTATTTGAAGTGTATTGTAAAATAGTTTAGAAGCTTATCTTGAAAATTATAGTGTCTCGAAATAGTTTTATATAGTCTCAAAATAGTAACTTACAAATCACTATAAAGAAAATCAAGCGAGAGAAATTAATTTCTTAGGCCTTTATTTTTCTTTATTTTTTTTTTAATGGAAAACTTCATACCCATGTAAGACCAGGGAAAGTAGTGTACTGCATGCAGCCCCAAGTACCCATCACCCACTCTCAGCAATGAGTCCACTCAGGATCGACTGTTTCATTTATATCCAGGCAATTTTGCAGCAAGTATCACACACTGCATGATTTCGTTCTTAAATATTTAAGCGTGCATTTCTAAAATAATAAGACTTATTGAAAACACAGCCAACATACTGCTGCCGCCTTTATAATACTTCATTAGTATCACAGTCAGGGCTTATATTCCCTAATTGTCTCCAATTGTTTCCTCCTCTGAAAGGGGCCACACAGGACACCAAGGACTTCCACATAGTGCAACATGTTGCTCTGAATCTTGGATTTTTAATTTGCGGGTTTCCTCCGCCATTGTTTTTTCTTCCTTGAAATTTGTTGGAGGAAACCAGTTCGTGTCCCATCACTTCAGGGTTCTCCATTGTCTACGTGCTGTGGCCCGGTGGCTAGGCTGAGGTTGGGTCCAGAGGCCGAGTGGAGGGCAAACAGTGTCCGACGCCAGCAGCCACTCAGCGCGTGCTTAGCCCATTCATTCGGCAGGCTTCCCAACACAGCGCTGGTCTAACACTGCTCATTTCTTTTTTCATTCCCAGGTATCAGTATAAACAAGGAGACGTCCCCTCATCCAGTTTTATCACCCTAGGGGACAGTTCATATAGGAAAACCAGGGTTTACATAATAGTCTTTCTGTTTATTTTCCAGATTTCAAAACAATTAGCAGCAATGGTGCTGGACTGAGAAAATAAACTCGAGCTTCTGTGGTTAGTTTTCACGCTGCTGCACCCATGGGAACAATCAGCCTAAACCCAAGAAACAGATCAAGAATAAAACAGAAGATTCATATGTCAAGAGTGGGGACAGTGTTTGTCCCAGAAACGCAAGAACGGTTAGACACTGGTATTGCTACACTGAACTACGCCAAAAAAATGCACCAGATTTACAGAGTAAAAATATAATCATTAGCAGATGATCATATTAAAGAACATGTTACAGATCGGCCGGCGTGGCTCAGCAGCTGAGCATTGACCTAGGATCCAGGAGATCACAATTCGATTCCCAGTCAGGGCACAGGCCCTGGTTGCGGGCCCAGTCTCCAGAGGGAGGCGTGCAGGAGGCAGCCGATCAATGACTCATCATTGATGTTTCTCTCCCTCTCCCTCTCCCTTCCTCTCTCTGAAATCAATAAACATTTTTTTTTTTAAAAAGAACATGTTACAAATTGTAAAAGCAATTCACAATTTTTCTAAACATCTCTAGGCAGGCTTGGAACAGGAGGGAAATTAAATAACCCAATTAAATATATTTATGGGGAAGAAAACGACACACATAATGCGAAACTTTAAAAATCATTCCCTTTAAAATTAGAAACAAGGAATCAGGAACTTCCCTGAGGCCTGCGGTGGCCACTTTTCCATAATGTACTGCAGTTCCAGACAATGCAAAAAAAAAAAAAAGAAATTAAAAAAATAAGACTCAAATAAAAAGTATAAGAATTGGAAAAGAAAAATAACTTATGATTCTATAGAATTATAGTAGCAAGGTGCTGGCAAATGGGTAGCAAATAAACCAATTCACTCCTACCCCTAAATGTACTTATATATGAGATATTGCTATGTACTATACAGAGTGTATTATAAATCAATGTGGAAAGGATGAACTATAAAAAATTAATGCTGGGTGATCCAATAGGAAAAATATGAAAATTATATCCATACCTCTCTTCCATACACAAAGACAGATTAAAAACATTAAGTGTCAAAGTCAAAATTATGAACACTTAGAGGAAAACACTAGAAAATCTTTAAAATAGAATTAGGAAGGATTTTTTAAAGGGCTACCAAAAAACACAGCCCTTAAAAGTAACACTAACTTTGACATATTAAAACCAAGTCATCTGTATGACAAAAAAAAAGTGAAAATGTGAAAAGGTATTTGCAGTAGGTCTAACAGACTATGGAGTAATACGCAGAACATACGAAAATCTTACAGATCAATAAAAAGGTCTAACAGGTTAAAAAAACAAACCTGATGGCAAAAAAATAAGGCGGAGGCCAGGTTATTAAGAAAGATCTTGAAAATATTGGTGTGAGTGTAACTTAATACAAGCTCAAGAGCAAACTGGGCAATGCATGCCCCATGCTTGCTGTTTTCTGACTAGAGAAGCTCTCACACGTGTGCCTAAGGAAGCCTTGTGTTTACTGCCTGCAATAGCAAAAAATTGGAAATAATCTAACCATTAGGGAATGGATAAACAAACTGTTATTCCCCTCCCCATAAAATAACAAATAAAATGAATGAGTAATATCTATCTGGCTAAACCTCAAAAACAATGTGTGGTAAAAAGCAAGGATACAGTATAATACCAAATTTTAAGCTGGAAAAGCTCACAAAACCCTACCATATAATGTTCACATATATATAAATTATTAAATCATGCAACAGCATGAGACCCTCCAACTTCTGACACCTCTGGGAAGGGTGAGAAGATCTAAGGGTTTATTCTGGTCTGTAATGTCTTCTATTTTTAAACCTGAAACAACACCATAATTTGTTGATGGTAAATTGTTAACATCTCTGTAAGAAAAGTGTGGGAGAAGGTATGTGCCTCAGATATAACTGAGAATGGGCACTGGGCTGTAATTTTCACCCAAAGATGAAAATAGCATCGGAACACACCAGAGGGGAAGGCAGGGGGGCAGGGAGGTGAGGGGACCGGTCAGCAGGATGCTCAGCCAGAAATAAAACGCAAACCAAGGAGAAATGTCTTCAAGGACCAACTATATCCCACTGATGAAATCAATGCAAATTCCAATCCAACAGAATGGAAGAAAACCCAGTAACCTGTGGCACTCCTCCACGCCACCACATACCCACCAGACTCTCCGAGATGTTTCTAGAGGATGGTGTTGATCAAGGTCACTTTGTTGTTGTTGTTAAACTATTTACACCTCATTTCATGGCTAATTTGCAGTTATCGTCCCCCAGGACAATTACAGTAATTCACCCAATGAGTATCAGTCTCTGTAAACAAGCAGCACCTTGCCAAAAGCTATGAAAGAATCGTGAAGACCGTGAGCTCTTTTCTTTGGGTTTACTTGATCCATAAAACAAACCATAATATAGTGATTATTTTTCCCATTTTACGGATAAATTGAGACTCAGAAAGTTTAAAACCTACCCCAAATCACCATGCTGACATAACATGAGCCAGAACTCAGTCAGTGTGTCAGCCTTGAAACCTTTAACTTTCTCTCTATCCTACAACGACCTCAAAGCCCAGGGGAGATCTTAACGTCCAGCTTCCCTGCTCTCACTGTTTCATACGGGCTAGACTCACTGTAGACCATGAATTACGTTTTTGGTTTTTGTTTGTTATTCATAAAACCATACAATAGTCAGACTAGAAGAGTCTTGTCATAACTTTTGAACCAGTGATTCTAATTCTAGGAATGATCTCTAGCAAGATGAATGAAAACCTTTCACAAAATTCTGTAACTGCTCTAGACCAAAAAAAATAAAAAACATTTTTTAAAAAATACAAGGAACAGAGTAATAAGTAACTAAAATCCTCCACACCAGGCACGGTGCCAAGAACTTTACATACACTTCCCTATCTAATTGTCATACTACCAACATAATATAAACATCACCAGCCCATTTTACAGGTGAGGAAACATCTGAGAGTGGCAAGTTAAGTAACCTGCCTAAATTTATGTAGCCAGTTTGGTGGAGCCCGAATCTGAACCCAGGGAGTCTGCTTCCCAAGTAGGCACAGTTGATCACCAAAGGTTTTATCAACGTTTTTGTGACCCACAGTAAGAGAAATCTATTTTACATCACGATCCAATTTGCACACACGGACGTAGATCAACTTCTACAAAACACTACTTACCTTAACACGCGGCAAAAACTGCCTTTTGTAAAAATGTTGGTTTTGAGTCATGAACTTTCTCACGACTCATGATTTAAAAAAATGCACGGTGCTTAACTGTTTCAAAGATATAGTGTTTATTAGCCACAAAAAATAAAGTAAAATAAAAAAGAGCTAAATGGAACTTACATAGTTAACCACAGAGCTGAATAACAATTACCAATGTAAAAAAAAAAAAAAAAAAA